TTCTTATTCTTATTTTTATTTTCATGTCTATTTAAGCGTAATTTATGACAGTATGTTTGCACTGAAGCACCGCAGCAATTTCCTAATGTTGTAAACCTGCCCAACATTTGGCAATAAAACCCTTTCTGATTCTGATTCTGATTCTGATATGGAGCTGCAAAACTAGATAATTCCTTGTTTTTTGGATTTTGAAACGATTATGGTTATAGTTTCTCATAGTGAAATATAGTGCATATTAGACACATTCAGCAGGAAGAAGCTTAGTGGATGACAAAATGCAAAACTCTTTTTTTTTTTCATTTCCAGCCAAGCAGGTTTGACAGGGATTAGCCTTATACTTACCTTTGAGTACCATTTCCCATAAGTGCATTTGGATTGATTATGAGAAATAGGGTTGATGAGTCATTTTAAGCAGGAAGTAAGACTAAGAAATCAAATGGGTAGAATCTCTATTACATATCCAACTGCGACACAAAATGGAACTTAAAATAAAACTGTGGCATGCATTGTCCAATTATTGTTGTTATTTACAGAGATTATCCAAAGTTTTACTTAGTAATTAAATACATTTATTAAATATATCAGTATTTAACCAATAGGCATTAGACCTTCATTTTAATAAGATTATCTTAGACGTTTTATAGCCCCAGCTTTTCTTTAAATGTTACAATAGCACCGGTATTTGTGACTTTTAATATATGCTAACAAACAGAAATCTATTTGTTAATCAGCTGTGCAACTTGCCCTGAACTTTACAGAAGCAAAGGTTTACATGTTGCTAACAAAATAGATGGTAATAGTTATGTGTGTATATGTATCAGAATCACTCAGTCCTGGTGCTGATTAGCCGTGTTTGCATGCTAAATGTTGCACAAGATTAGCATGTAGCTTCACAAACTTGCCTTCACTGACAGATTGTAAGTCCTTTAATGTATATTTTTCTGATTTCTTGTCTTCTATAGATGGAGTATGCAAAGATATCTTATCTGTAGCTGGACCAGAGGTGGAAGCAGAGCTGAAAGCAGGTGAGAAAAAGAAAAGCAGTTACTTATCTTCTCATCTTACTTATCTGACTCTCACTCATGCTTCCTGTCACTTTCTGTGCAGCAAAAGTGAATCGAGGAGAAATTTATGTGACACAGCCTGGAAATTTCCCCTGTAAAGCTATTTTTCACGTGCATGGAAAACAGGATGAAGTCCTCATTGAACAACTTGTGTGTGATATCATTTACTATTGTGAATCGTATAATTACAGTTCAGTGGCAATTCCTGCCATGTGTGCTGGTAAGTATTTTGTTCAGCATTTCTTTTTATTCTGTTTGTTTTGAGACACACACACCTAAATGCAAGTGGTGTTTTAACAGGAGCTGGAGGGTTGAATCCTGCGATTGTAGCAGGAGCCATTCTTCGAGGGATCAAGTCATCTGCATCAATCATGAACAGCCTCACCAACATCCGTCTGATCCTGATTAAGATCGATGTCTTCTTGACTTTTAAAGAGACAGCGATGCAGATGTATTCTGTCATCAACAGAGGTGACAGAAATATTCACAAACTGACATCTTGTGTGCAATTGAATTTTAAAACGAATTTGAAAATAAAAACTGATTACAAATTTATTTTACTGAAAATTTTTACTGATTTGTTCTAGTACTTCCAGTACTTCCAGCACTTCCAGCACTTCCACCACCTCCACTACATCGACCACCACTTCCAGCACTTCCAGCACTTCCACCACCTCCACTACATCGACCAC